CCGCGGCGCCTTCCGGACCAGGCGCTCGGGGCGATGGCGAGGTTATCCGTGCAATGCGAGTCGGTCTTGGACTGGCCGAGGGACCACCTCTGGGCAATGATGCGCCGCGTCCCGAAGCCCGAGTCAGGCCACCGCCTCGTCGCCGTCCTGGACACATTATTCCGGGTTCGGGGCCGCCGGCGCCGCCCGCTCACCAGGGCCTCGTCCGTCGAGCACCGCGTCGAGGAGGTGCGGGGCACGCGCAGCCGCTACACCAGCAGCGACAGCGCGTCCGAGCACAACCTGCAGGCCGAGATCGGCTCCATCAAGGGCCAGTTCGTGGTCACGGCCCTGGATGACATCAAGAAGGCCTGCGACATTTCACGCCCTGCCCAGCTGCGCCAAGAAGGCCTGCACTAGGTCCCCCCCCTCGGATGCCATGGAAGTTGGTTTGGCAGCGCAGACTGCCGCGCCGCTTGGAAGGCAACGCCTCGGTCTCCAGCGCCTTCGCGTCCGATCAGGGCTTCTTCGCTGGATGCGCGCGCCCTGGCGGCATGCTCGAGCTTCTCGCCTTGCGGGCCTCTTGAGGATTAAAGAGGCCCCCGTGAATCTCAGCCCGAGGATGCTGGTCGACGACGTCTCCATCCAGCACGATGGCGATGACTAGCGTGGGGCTGTTCACCTGGACAGGGCAGTGCAGCTGTTCCAGGCGGACTCCGCGCCGCCTGGCGTTGTCTTCAACCTGGGGGAGTCTGGCGTCATGGTTGCTACCAGGACCCCGCGCGGCGGTCAGGAGGTCGCGCGGACGCCTCCCTCTCCGCCCTTGGATGCGCAATCTCGGCCACGAGGCCGCGCGACATCAAGAGCGCCAGCGGCTCCGGCAGCTCCTTCAGCGCAAGCATCGGCTGAACGTGTTTCGCGGTGCGGCAGGCCGCAAGGCTTCTATCTTATGGCGGTCTGGAGCTCAGCCCGCCGTCGGTCACGGCGCTGGAGTCTCTGGGGTGCCAGACTAGGTGCTGAAGCAGACGAGGCCCGTCGCGGCCGCGCTGGTCGGGGCCCCTGCTCACGTCTCAATAGCGCCGTACTTGCACTGCCAGTGGCAGCGGCGGCGCGACCCGATCTTCGACGCAACCGCAGCCATCCTCCGCCGCTTCCACTGCTTCATCTGGGACGGGCGGGCGCTCCTCAGCGACGTGCGCTACGCTTGGGCTGAACTGGTTCCTCGCGCACAGGCAGGCCTCTCCTGGGCGGGCGTGCGAGGCCCGATGGCGGCCGTGTTCCCTGCGCTTCAGTTCATTGGCTGGGAGTGCCAGTCACCAGTTCATTGGCGGGACGACCTGGGCCAGATCTACGACTTGCTGCAGGTGGCCCCCGCTGAAATGCGCAGCTTCTTGGAGGCGCAGGTCAAGCGCCAGCAGATGAGCAAGCTTGCCTCAGCGCTGCCCGCGACCGGGGAGACCTACGCCGACGTGCGCGAGCGGGCGCTGAGACTTGGGCCGACTGAGCTTCCGCCCTCGAAGCTCGGTGCGATTCGCGCGCCCTGGGCCGACCGTCTCCCGACAGCGGCGAGGCTCGTCGCATGGGGCCGCCGCGCCGAGCCTTCGTGCCAGGCGCGCTCGGAGCCAGACGGCAGCTTCGGACGCGTCTGGCGCGCGCGCCCCGCTCTCGAGGCACCCGACGAGAAAGAACCTATGATGGAGTGCGATGTTCTGCCAGACGAGTTTCTTTCTCATCGGGAAGCGCATTGCATCTGCCCCGTGGCCTTCCCAGGCTGTCTGCTGACGCCACCCCCTTTCCACCGGCGATCCCTGAGCGCTGGGGGCGCGGCGACGTGCGAGGGTTTTGGGGGCCTGTGACGTTCGGGGGCGGGAGTGCTCAGGGATCCTCGGTGCCAGAGGTGCGCAGGGCTGGCTGGTCGATCGCGCAACTCTCCTCGGACCTCCCCCCTGTGCGAGCTCGGTTTGGCAGCCTCGATCGACCCGCGCAAATAGTTGGTCGCGCCGAGCGCACCGCTGCGTCAGATGCCTTCCGCGTGAATCCAGCTTTGAAGGCGCATTTATTTGATATCTTGGCTCCTGTCCGCGAGGGGCAGAGCTGGGGCCCCGAGCTAGCTTGCGGCATGCGGAAATACGCCCTGGTCCGGAGGTCGATCTTCGCACAGGCCGATAAACGGACATCCCTCGCCCTTTTTTTCTTGCGTGAACCCCCGCCCACCTCTCGTTAGAGCAGGCCTATTAGCTTGGGTCGGCAGTGCATGGGCCGATTTCTTTGTTAAAATCGCGCCGCGTAGGTCTATGGTCTCTCGCGGGCTCTGCACAGCCATCGAGGGCGAGCTTCAATTCCATGGAACCTCGTTGCAGTATGTCTCATGGGCTGCAGCCAGGGTTGTCAGGCCTAGGCGTTGGACAGACATCCCTCCTCCTCCTCCGCATCCGAAGGCCCCGCGTTGTCGCTATATGAGCATCAGTTTTACTTGGGCAACCGTTCGGGCGAAGTCAGGTGTGGCAGCTGTTTTGTTGGGGCGCGTTCTGCCAGTACCTTCGCCCATCTGTGTAGCGATTCCTTGCGATTTTGTCGTAGGAACGGGATGGCGGCCTTGGAGGGCCAGCGAGTGGCTCAGGAAGACGGGGCCCCGCGCCCAGGCAATCCAGGCCGAGGCCGTGGGTTTCGCCCTCGCCGCTGCTGCCGCTGCCTCCCCCCCTGCCGCTGCCTCTGCTAAGCCTCCTGAACCTCGTCTGCATGAAGACGCTGGGACGGCCGCCCTCCAGGAGTTTCGTAATCGCGGCCATGCAATGGCCCAGATTGGCAGCGTTTGCATATGCGCAGCCTGTTCTGGCTTCCTTCGGTGGGGTCACGTTGGCCCTCCTCGACGTTTGTCGTGGTCCTTCGGTCGTGCCCTTGGTTCGCGATGCGCAGGTGAGGAAGCTGGAGAGGGCCCGTAGGGGCCTGCACCCGTCCACGGGGTCTGCGCTGGACTGATTTGGCGTGTTCCTGGCCTGGCCCTGTCTTCTTGCCTGGCCGTGGTCAGCCCCGATTGGCCATTTGGTCGGGATCAGCATTCGGCCAAGTGCTTATCCCTACCGAGACGTCGTTCCGACGTTTACTCCATGTTTGTAGGGCACTTTGCTCATACCCCGTCGCTGTTAGGGCAAGCTGACGACGCTTTGGCCGGCGCCCACCTCCTCCTTCCCCCCTCCAAGTGATGGTGGCGGTGGTGGAACACAGGCCCATCAGAGCAGGGGGGCAGGGGACAGCTCGGGGATACATCCACCCAGAGGCTAGACGGACGCACCCCTTATCGAAAACGGATGCCCCCCCCCCCCCCGTCGTAGATCCACGAGTTTGGCCCCGAATCTCTGGTCCGTTTGGGCACCCCCCACGAAGTCGGGGACTGGGGTCGTCATGCCTGCCGCCATGGGGTGCAGTGGGGGCCCATGCCCAAAAACACCCGGCTTGCATCCAGGGTGCCCTGGGTTTCTTGGGTTTCGATGGTTCTGTTGCGGCGAGCGCGACGCTCCCGCGCCAGAGCCTAATGGACGTCTTGGGGTCTCAGGGTTGGGTTTCGTGGGGTTGGGTTTCGTGGAAGGTTTCTTGTGGTCGAGCTCCCTGGAGTAGATCCCCGAGGGGAGGGGCGATGCAGGGAGAGGGGCGGGGCCGCGGGGGCGGGGCAGGAACGGCAAGGAGAACGGCGCGGGGGGGGGGAAACATGGCAGGTCGGGCCGCCGCCTGGGGACACGGTGCGGGTCCGAAAACCATCCAACAGCGGGTCCGAGAACCATCCAACAGCCATCAAACAAGCCATCAAACAATCATCAAACGAAAACATCCGGAAATCATCGAAGTAGAAACATCCAACAGGTTTCCTGTGGTCGAGCTCCTACTGCACGCCACCTGCTCGAGCCTCGCCCCGGGCCCACAAACCTCCCCTGGGAGGGCTTCCCCCGGCCCCGCGCCGCCCCGCAGGGCGCGCGGGCCCGCCGGGCGCGGGGGGCGGAGAGGCCTCGGGAAGCCCTTCGGGTAGGCCCTCCGGAAGGCCCCAGGAAGTCCCAGGACGCTCCGGGAGGCCGGTCGCCACGTGTTCAGGTCGCTGGCACGGGCGGGAGGGAGGAAGCGAGGGAGGGAGGGAGGGAGGAGGAGGAGGAGGAGGAGGAGGAGGAGGAGGAGGAGGAGGAGGAGGAGGAGGAGGAGAGGGAGGTTGGAGGAGGGGGGGGGAAGGGAGGAGGGAGGAGGGAGGAGGGGGGAGAGGGGGAGGAGGAGGGAGGAGGTCAGTCGGTGCGGTTCGGCACTGCTGCAGCCTGCAGCCAGGGGGAGCTGGGGTAACTCTTACTCCGACCGCCGCGTGTCCAGCACATGAGGGTGTGCCCAAAAGCCCTGAGGCCCGAGCTTGTCACGGGAGTGATGTGGACGACGACGATGAGTGCGGCGACGGCGGCGGCGACGGCGATGGGATTGACGACGGCTCCAACGGCGAGGGAAAGGTCGGCCCATAATCGCGTAAGCACGAATAACGAAGACGACGGCAGCGACGACGACGACGATAGACGATAGCCATGGCGACAGCAGCGGCGACGTCGACGGCGACGGCAGCAGTGACAAGGACGACGGCGGCGGCGACGGCGAGAGACGACCACCACGTCGGGCCAGAAACGGGGAAGAGCCGAGCGCAGTCGACGACGTCGGCAGCGACCACAAAGATCGGGCTGGACGAACGGGTAGGATAAGTAAGGAAACGGGGGGGCACGAAATCTGCTGCCAGCAGCTGGTTTCAGCCCCGCCGCTGGGCGAAGTCCTCGATGGGCGCCTCCCGGCGCGAGGAGGCGCCAGGAAAACCAGCTACGTCGGCTGATTATCTACTCTGCCCTTCCGTTTCGCTCCCCAAAAAAGACGATGTCGACGGCGACAAGCGTTGACGCTGGCGACGACGGCGGCGGCGACGGCAGCGACGATGGCGGCGGCGGCGGCGGTGGCGGCGACGGGCCACGGTGGCGGCGGCGGCGACGGCGCTCGCGGCGCCGCCCGAGGAGTACATGCCGGTCAAGAGCTGCCCCGATGAGGCTCGGGAGCCTTGGGACAGGAGTCGATACAAACGGGGTTCAGCCAGAGCGCTGAATCTTGCGGGATCCTGCGAAGCCAGGCTGGCTGGCGCGCTGGATCCTTTCAGGAGTTCGCAGGATCCTGCAATTCCTGACTGGCCCGTGTTTGCATTAACCCATGTCTGCACAAGCTTGACATGCTCCCACGGGATGGTCGGGGGTGGACAGACCTCCTGCCCTGACACGTCGATTAGCGAATTGGCCGTTTTCGGTTCGCGAGAGGGCGTCGCGGCCGTCATTTTTTGCGGATCCAGGTCCGTCGGTCTCGGTCCCGGGCCGTTTTCACGAAGGTCCGTCCACCGCCGAGAGGGGGGGGGGGGGAAGGTGCGCCCTCGCCGCGGGCGGCGGGCGCGCACGCGGCCAGGCCCGCGCGCCCACCGGGGGCCTCTGCGCGGAGGCCCTCGCGGAGGCGGTCGCGAGAGGGGCCTTCGATAGGGGGCCACACGCGAACCCTACCCCTACCCCCCACGATTTCTGAGGGGGAGGGTGGGGTTCACTTCGCTCGGGAGCTCCCGAACGAAGTGAACCCCACCCTCCCCCTCAGAAATCGTGGGGGGTAGGGGTAGGGTTCGCGTGTAAGCCCCCATTCGAGGGGCCGTCGGGGCCCCGGGCGGGCCTTCGGAGCCTGAGTCGGCGGCGAGGGAGGGGGGGAAAGCGAGGAGGAGAAGGCCTGCTCGCCTGCTCAGAAGGCGGCGTGGCTTCTCAGGAGCCCGCCATCTTGGAAGTTTCCTGCGTCTTCGGGGAAGGCTCAGGGGACTTCTCAGGAGGCTAGGGGGCTTCCAGGCCTTTTGAGAAGGCCCGCCCCTTCTCCTCCTCCTCCTCCTCCTCCTCCTCCTCCTCGTCCTCCTCCTCCTCCTCCTCCTCCTCCTCCTCCTCGTCCCCCTCCTCCTCCTGTTCCTCCTCCTCTTCCCCCCCGGGGCCCGCCGCCGATGAAGACGCCGGAGAACTCCGGGGGCGTCTGGAGTCCTGCGCGGAGGCCTCGGAGGCCTCGCGGGTCAGCGCCTCCTCGGCACGGCGGCTCTCCGTCGCAGGATGAGGTTCGCGGTCTCTCTGTTCCGCATCGGGCGGGGGGGGGGGGAAGGGGCACTCGTGGCCGCGGCTGGGCGCGGCTCTAGCAGCTGGTCGGGGTGGTGGCCGATTTGGGGATCGATTCTCACCGACATCTCGATCTGCTACAGAATTGATTTATCATTTTTTTTCTGCTCGCCGAGAATGTTTGCACACCCGGGGGACTTTTACGTACCTTTTTGTAGATCTGGCGGGAATTGTAATTTTGTGGTACCTCAATGTTGTTTGTGGTCGGTCTTCTACTCGAACATCCCCCTCGTTTTCCTCGCCCGCCCTGCAGGAGTTGGTGGCTGAGGCTCCTGGAGGTGCTCGCCGCAAGAGCGGCGGTGCCCCGCGGAGGCGCACGCCATCTGCAAACGTACCCGGGCCTCCTAGGGAGGGCGCCCATGCCATGAAACACCCTGCTTGCTTCCAGGGTGGTCATGGTTTTCGTATTCATTGTTTTGCCGATTGGCGCGGACCCCTGCACTCCCTCCCCCACCCCTCCCCATGGAGCAGATCCTGGCCTCTTGGGGGCGCCTGTTTCAAGCAGGTGGAATCTGCCCCGTGAGACGAGCTGTTGCAAACAGTCGCGCTAAGCAGAGGTCCAGAGCCAGACCCCCCCTCCCCCCCCCGTTCCGCCCAATGTCGAAACGCCGAATAAGAAAACGGCCACGTGCGCTGGGTTACTCGGGTTCCATGGTTCTTCGATGGAACGCGTCCTCGCACAATCATCGACAAGGCTAACCTCCAGCATATATATATATATATATATATATAACCATATCAACATCACCCGATTTCACCCGTACGATACAGTGGAAACCCGTGCCAAGAAACACCCGGTTTGCCTCCAGGGGTTCGATGGCTCTACGGTGGAAAATGTGGCGTCCCCACACCAAAAAACGAATGGACGTCCTGGGGTCTCAGGGCGGGCTTTCTTGCGGAAGGTTTTTGGTGGTCGAGTTATTATTGTACAACCGTCAAGAAGGGTACTTTCTAAAATAGTTAACACCAATTTGATATCACCCTCTTTCACCCGTTCAATATCGTTCCCTTCAATGTCGAAGCAGAGCGGAACGCGGTCTGGGCGGGTGCGGCTCGGAATTTCCACGATGGCCGACATTGGAGAGACGGCGCCAGCAAATATTTTGCACACAATGCCACCCAACGCCAGGACATCACGTCGACAAGGAAGCTTGACACATTTGGTTATAGGTTCTTGCGTCAAGGGTACTATGTCCTGGCTTGTTCAAAACAGGGCCCCCGTAGATCTTGACCCCTCCATGGGTGAAGCAGTGGCGAAGCGTCCTGGCTCGCCAATTGGTTCACCAACCAGTGTTCTAATATCTCGTTGTGGTTTGCACGACATGTCCTTGGAACACTTCTGGCTGAGGCCATCTTGGTTTAACACATCGCTTTTTGGTTTTTGAAGTTTCGCCTTTCCTATATGAGAAGATGTTAGAACGTTCGTTTTTGTTCAAGGACATGCCGTAGCATGCTTACCCGAATGCGCGGACCGCTTGTCCCTGCTCAACGGTGGCTCGGTTTCATCCCGAGTTGTGTTGACGGCTCCGCATCCCGAGAACGGCCCCCGCGACAGAAAGACAGAAAGTATGCGAGTTACTTTTGTTCAGGACGCTGGAGGAGGTCTGAAGCTCCTCGCCCTCCCGCTTCCGCAGCAATTTTTGGCTCCGGCCCCTCGCCGACGCGCCGGCCCCGCGGCGATCCGCACATCCTCCTCCGGCGACGCGTAGGGGTGACCTTTTTTTCGCCGGAGTGACGCTCGGCGCGGGCACACCGGGCCCCTCCGATGGCTGAGCGCGATGCGACGGCAGCGGCTTGCGCGCTTGGGTCTGGCCGCCACGCGCCCCCCGGAAGCACTCCCTACGTGTGGCCGAGCCTCCTTTTGTCGGGGGTCCCCAAACGCGGTGGTGACTACACCGTGCAGCGAGTCGGTGGGGATTCGGAGTCATCGCACGGTCGTGGGACTCGGGTCGTTCTCCGAGGACGTCTCGGGCGACAGGGGCCTCCGGGGTCCCAAGACCGTGCGGTGACCTGCCGTGCGGTGAGGTGTGGGGAGATTTGAGGTCACCGCACGGTCCGTCACCGCACCGTTTCGGGACTCCAAATTTTGAGCGCGACGCGGAGGGCCCGGCCGCAGGGAGCCGGCGCGGGCGCCTCGCGATGCGGGAGCACGCGGCGGGCCTCGTTTCGCCGGCGGCCGCCTCCTGTTGCGAGGTGCCGAGGTGCTGCGAGCGCCCCTCGCGGGCGGCCGGTTGGGCCCGCACCGCGTGGTCACTCTGGCGGAGGGCCACTCCAGGTCGGGCAGGTCCTCCTCCTCCTCCTCCTCCTCCTCCTCCTCCTCCTCCTCTACCCTCCTCCTCCCGCTGCCCCGGGGGTCGCGCCCGCGCGCCGCCGACAGGCGAACGCGCCGCAGCGCAGCGCGGGGAGCACGCGCCGTGCGAGGCGCCGCGCGGCGAGGCCGGGCTCGTGGCAGGCGGCGAGCACCACCTGGTGGCGGCGGAGCCCCGAGAGGCGGCAAAGGTGCCCCTCCCACTGTCAGGAGGAAAAGAAACACACAGACACAATTAATCTTCGATTCCCCAGAAAATATGGGAAAGTATGGGAAGTGGGGGGGAAGACAGAAACCCAGAGAATGTTGGAAAATATGGGGAATATTTTTATTTGTGTGTATTTATTTGTGTGTCCTGGGGCCCCTTCACACTGCCCCGTGCCTCGTTAAAGCGACGCGAAGATCGGGACAAAAGCGGATCGGGATCACTCGAAATCTCTGGGAGTCGGCGGGTGTGGAGGATGTATTGGGCGCCGCGGCCGCTCCAGAGCGTTGCGGAGCGCTCTGAGAGCGCTCCGGAACGCTCTGGAGCGATTTATCCCGATCCTAGCCCTGCCCTCTGCCTCGTTCTGTCCGCCTCTCGGGGCCTCCCGGGTGGCCCTCGTCGCCACCGCCGGGGCTCGCTCGCCTCGAGCTCCTGACCGGAAGGCACCTCAGGAGAGGTCTGGGGAGCACCTTCACGCCGCACGGGAAGGATGGTGCTCTTGCATCTTTCCCCTGCGGCCCAGTCTTGCCCGCGCCCCGCTTTTGAAAAGCTTCGACCTGGGCGTCAAAGGCCCGTGCATCCTTATCGCGCCTCCTTGTGCCACGGGCTGACTGTCGCGGCATCAGCACCTCTTGGATTCCCCAGGATCAAGAGAGCGTAAGACCCGGGTACAAGGGACTCGGAAATCCCCGACGAGGTCGTCAAACAAGTGACGAGGCCGAGCCTGCATTTTGACGAGGCCTCCCGCTGCAGACATCCCACGAAACTCCTACTCGTCAGAATCCGAATCGCGGTCGTCAAAAAGCGATGGCGAACCCGAGTCCTGGCAAACCCGGGTCCTACGCTCCCCCGCCAGGAGCAGGCGGGCCTCCTGCCCGCGCGCGCGGACAGCGGCGGGCACGAGGGCGCCGCCCTGCGGCCCGGCGGGCGCGCGGGCTGCCCGACGTGGCCCGCGTGCGCGGCCGCGCTCGTCGGACGACGGCAACCGGGGCGCCGGCACCGGTCCGGGGGCAGAGGCGGGCGGGCGGCAATGTCGGGGGCGGAAAAGAGGGGGGGGATGACTAGGGGGGGGTGGATATCATGGCGGGGGCCATGGTATTTCCCCAGATCTCATGGCGCCTCTTCTGATTTCATGACGTCCCTGGCCCCCCCGCTGGGCCGCGCACATGCCGCTGGTCATGATTTGCACCCCCCCCTCTTGGACCCCCCCCTCTTGGCCGCTCCCGATAATGTGAAGTCGGGCATGTTCATCTACAGGAGGAAGGTCCAGAAATAGTTCACCAAAGTAGTTTGGGGACGATGTTCTACACATGAGCAGCTATTTTTTGACATGTTTTGGATATCCTCTTGACGATTGCCCATTGTTCGTCGGAGTCGCGCGTGGGAGGACATGCTCGACATAATTGGTTGACCCACGTGGGGGGTGAAGAAAAGGGGCTTCATGGGGTCCATTGAGGGCCCCCTGCGGAGCCCTTTAGGGCCCTGCTCTTTCCCCTCCGTTTGGGTCAACCCCCACCACCACCCGCCCGAGCAGAGGCCCAGCCTGGGTCGAGGATCGGTGCATGAGTCGAAGAGGAAACAACGCCATACACATGATTGTTTGACGCTGCGCGCGGATTTCTTGGATCCACGCTGGACCCCCAAGGCGGCGCCTCCGGCGCCGCCCCTGGCGCGCTCCGCGCGCCAGAGAGGAGGGGCCAGCGCAGATCCAAGAAATCTGGGCGGAGCGCCAAAAGTTTATGTTGATGGCGTTTGATATTGTTCTAATGAGTCGTCTTGACTTGGCTGGGAAGGGGCGTGCGCTGGCTAGGAGACACTCCCTGGAGACGCGTGTTTTTTTGTTTACCCTTTGGGCCATAACGCGCGTTATGCCCATTCCCCGCCCCCTTCCCCCCAACGTGACGCTCCCCCTTTCAGTGCGTTCCCGGCACTGCGACGGCGTGTCTGGCACCACACTATGTGGTGTGGGGGGGGGTTCGCTACGTTATGCTCCCTCTCCCGTTCCCCCCCTCCTCCCCCCCATAACGCCCGTCATGGCCGCGACTGCAAAAATGCGCGCGAGGTGAAATTCAGCATCGGCGCTGGCATCATCCGCGGTCGAATGCCAAAGCATCAAAATACTTGGGCTCATGACCCGGCATAGTCCTGGCGGATCCCGCTGGATCCCGCTCGTCCAGCTCCATTCGGGGTTGTGTCTTGGCCGATGCGGCTCGATGGCCCCGGGATCGGGCTCGGGAGCCTTTCGCCGTTCTCGCGAGGCGTTCCCCCAGGAACTGCATCCTACCGTAAAGGCATACACCAGGAGGGGAAGAACACACTGCCACAATGGAGTTGATCATCCACGCCCAGGAACATCTGGGAAGATACCGGCGGTGGGGGGAAGACGAACACCCATGGAAAAAACATTGGAAGCATATGAGGGATCCTGGGAGTTGTCTTTCTTCATTGGCGTACCCCCGGGCCCCTTCCAGCCGCGTGCATATGTCCGGAGGTCCGCGCGGATTCCTGGGGTCGACGCTGCGCCTCCCCCTCTTGGCGCTGCAGAGCCCGCCAGGGGCGGCGCCGGAGGCGCCGCCAGGGGGGGCCAGCGCCGCTCCAGGAGATCAGCGCGCAGCGCGAACCTCCGAAGTTCGGCGGCGAGCGAGGGGGGGGGGAGTGAGAAGGGTCGGGGTCGGCAAAGAGGGGGGTGATGACTAGGGGGGGGGGATATCATGGCGTGGGCCATGATATTTCCCCCCCAGATGTCATGGCGCCTCTTCTTGTTTCATTACGTCCCTGACCCCCCCGCTGGGCCGCGCACATGCCGCCGGTCATGATTTGCACCCCCCCCCCCCTCTTGGACCCCCCCCTCTTGGCCGCTCCCGAAAGGGGGATGGCCTTCTCAGAAGGCAGACTTCTCAGAAGCCCTCGCGCCTCCCGAGAAGCTGTGGTTCGTCCTCGGGGAAGGCTGTTGGACAACCTCTCAGAAGGCCGGGGGACGTCCGCCCCTTTTCACTTCCCCCCCTCGCTCGCCGCCGAGAAGTGCTGTGCTCCTGTCATGGTGTGTCCCTCGATCCAAACGCCCGCCCTGGGCCCAAGGCTGGTTCTGGCCAGGGCCCCGTGCTGGTGCGCAGAGTTGGAGTAGGAGATCGATTACAGAGTTGTTTGATCCCCAAATTGTTTTTTGTAGGTCTACGCCGTCTCTACGTAGACATTCTATGAATACTAAAATAAGGCTCCGTCGATCTACGAACATGATGCTCGTATACCGACGAAGCCTCAGCATTTGTTTGTGGATCTGGCGGGGAAAAATCATTTGGGGGTAGATCAATTCTTCGGGGAACGAGCAAAGACATAAGCATAAAAACTCGTAGGTCCGCGCGGATTTCTCGGATCGGCGCTGGATCCCCCTCCCCGGCTCGCGGAGCGCGCCAGGGGCGGTGCCGGAGGCGCCGCCATGGGGGCCCCAGCGCGGATCCGAGAAATCCGCGCGGACCTCAGAGTTTTTACGTTTATGTCGTTCTGCGTTCTCCTCACACCGCGTCGGGCATCTCAATTCTGCAGCCGATCTCCTGCTCGACGCGTTGCCGTCGTCCCGCCTCGCGGCGGCCGTGCTCGCGGCGGCGGCCTCGCTGGGCCTCGGCGGGGTCCGCGCGCAGGGGTCCAGAGAGGCGGGCCGCCTCCTCTCGCTGCAGCGCGACCTCGTGCAGTTCCACTGGGTGCACGACATGGCCCGCTGCGTCGGCGTGGGCGGCGGGCCGGAGGGGGCCAGGACTGAGGGGTTGATCTTCCACCACCACCGCCATGAGCTGGAGGGGGGAGGGAGGTGGATGAGGAGGAGGAGGGGGAGGAGGAGGCGGAGGACCCCCTCCCCCTCCTGCTTGTGGCACAGGCCCACCAAGGACGGGTGGCCGCGGAGGAACATTGGGGAACAACCAATGACATGAACATACAAACTCGGAGGTCCGCGCTGGACCCCCCTGGCGGCGCCTCCGTCGCCGCCCCTGGCGCGGGACGGGGGTCCAGCGCGGATCCGAGAAATCCGCGCGGACCTCCGAGTTTTTATGCTTATGTCATTGCTCGTTCCCCGAAGAATTGATCTACCCCGAAATGATTTTCCCCCGCCAGATCCACAAACAAATGCTGAGGCTTCGTCGGTATACGAGCATCATGTTCGTAGATCGACGGAGCCTCATTTTAATATTCATAGAATGTCTACGTAGAGACGGCGTAGACCTACAAAAAACAATTTGGGAATCAAACAACTCTGTAATCGATCTCCTAGGCTTCGTCGGTCTACCCACTGCCCCTTGCCTCGTGTTTTCGCCTTTCTGGGCCTCCCGGGAGCCCCTCGTCGCCACAGCGTTCTAGTCAGAAGGCGCCCTGGGGGAGCTCCGGGTGGACAGAACCCCCAACAGTGACACGTCGATTAGTGAATTGTCCGTTTTCGGTTCTCGAGAGGGCGCCGTGGCCGTTATTTTCCAGGCTTGCGCCCACCAGGTTTGGGCCTCAGGTCGTTTTCACTAAACCACGTTTTACTAAAGGGGGGTCTGTCCATCCCCGAAATTGGCTGTGTCGGTACCTTCTGGTTCCCCCAACAGGCGGGCAAGATTTGTATCCACATCCACTGCGTCCTGGAGTTTCGGATTCCGTTCCCCAGGAGATGCGCAGTGGATGTGAATGCGAATATTTGGTTTCTAGAGGCTCGATCTTTCTCCATGTCCACTGCGCCTCGGCTTTTCGGCGCCCCTGCCCAGAAAGTCCAAGACGCAAAGGATATGGATATAAATCTGTCCCGCAAGGAGAGGTGCCAGTCTCGTGCTCACCAGCTGCGCGGAGGCGCCGCTGGTGTTCACGATGCCCGGGTTGGAGGACAAGTTCATCCGAGTGGCCGGGAGGCCAGACCTTTGCGTGCATAGTCCTTTGGAGACGCCGAAGCTGCGCTTGTGGAACTGCAGCGAGTATTTGAACATGCAGTTTATCTTGCAGGCATCCCCCGGGAACCGTACCAGGGGGTCCATCCGTGGGCTCTGGAATTCGACCATGTGCATGGGCGCCTTGCAGGACAGGGTGGGTGAGCCGATGGAGATGCACGAGTGCACGAACAGCACGACCGACTTCTTCATGATGAATCTCGTGCTCGAGGGGTCCCTTCTGGGCGCAGCGCTGGACCCGGACAGCGAAGTGCAGGCAGATGCTGGAGGGGCCGGCCCAGGGTTGAGGCTCAGATCCGGGGTCGCCAAGGCCAAAGCTGCGATCGACGAGGCTGAGGCCCTGGCGGTGTCGATCTTGACGCAGGCGGCCAGCGGCGCCACGCAGGCGGTGACGAACGCCACGGAGGTCGTCGAGGCTTCTCTGAGGGAAGCGGGGGCGATGTCGGCCGGGGCGTCAGCGATCCTCCAGAATGAGCTCAACAGGACAGGGGAGGCCGTGAGGAATTGGGTGCGGTGGCACTGAGGGTTCGCCGCTTTGCCGATGCGGCATGGCCAGGCGTCCCCGTGGCAAGCCTGCCCTTCTACAACAGCACCAGGGCGCAGGACGCCCCGGCGTCCCCCTGCCCCTTTCCCCCCCCCCCTCCCCCCCTCCGTAAGCTGTACACGGTCAGTCCGTGCCGCCTCAGTTACAGCGCTTCAGTTCGACTTCCGCGAAGTGGAGGTCGACGAACAAAAAGTCGGTCCGAGCCGTCGTCGCGCACCTTGGGGCCAGGAGCATGTTCACTATATCATGCTATGCCTGTCCACCCCGGTGTGGGAAATGACGGCCCAAACACTGTGTGTATGCGTGTGTGTGTACATATATATATATATATGCATACATGTATACATATGTATGTATATACATACCTGTATATAAAAGTGCATGTATGTATGTATGTATGTCTGTCTGTCTGTCTGTCTGTCTGTCTGTGTGTGTATGTATGTATGTATGTATGTATGTCTGTCTGTCTGTCTGTCTGTCTGTCTGTCTGTCTGTCTGTCTGTCTGTCTGTCTGTCTGAATGTATGTATGTATGTATGCATGTATGTATGTATGTATGTATGTATGTATGTATGTATGTATGTATGTATGTGAGAAAGAGCGCGTTCTGTGGTCGCTTGGAGGGGGGGGGGTCGAAACCGACCCCCCCCCCTGGATGGAGTCCCCCCCCACCCGGGACGGGGGGGATTCAAACCCCCCTCTCCCCCCCTTCCCTCCCGTGACGGGGGGGGTTGGGTTCGAACCTCCCCCCTTTGCTTCCCCTCTCCTCGGTCCGGCGCTTGCGTCGGCGGCGGCTGGCGACGGCGGCGGGGACCACGATTTCAATTTCTGGGCCGGCGCCTGCGCCCTCGGCGGCGGGCGGCGGTGGCGGGGAGCGTCGACGAGGACGACGGTGGTGGTGGTGATGGTAGTGGTGGTGGATTGTGGTGGTGGTGGTGGCGGTGGTGGTGGTTGTAGTGGTGGGGGTGTGGTGGTTTGTCGTGGTGGTGGTGGGTTGTGGCGGTGGGTGGTGGTGGTGGTCGTGGTGGTGGTGGTGGTGGTGGTGGTGGTGGTGGTGGTTTGGTGGTGGTGTGGAGTTGGTTGTGGTGGTGGTGGTGGGTTGTAGTTAGTGGTGGTGTTGGTGGTGATGGGGTGGTGGGGTGGTGGTGGTTTGTGGTGGTGGTGGTAGGTTGTAGTGGTGGTGGTGGTGGTGGTGGGGTGGTGGTGTGGTGGTGGTTTGTGGTGGTGGTGGTGGAGGTGGTGGTGGGTTGTGGTTGCGGCGGTGGTTTGTGGAGGTGGTGCTGGTGGTGGTGGTGGTGGTGGCGGTGGGGGTGGTGGTGGTGAAGTGGTTTGTGGCGGTGGTGGGTTGTGCTGCTGGTAGTGGTGGTGGTTGAGGCGGCGGTGGTGGTGGTATTGTGGCAGACTGGTGGTGGTGGTAGTGGTGGTGAGTTTTTGTGGTGGTGGTGGTGATGGTGAATTGTGGTGGCGGTTGTGGTGGTGTGGTGGTGGTTTGTGGTGGTTCGTGGTGGTGATGATGGGTTGTGGTGGTGGCGGTGGTTCGTGGACGATTGGAGGTGGTGGTGGTGGCTGTGGTGTCGGTGGTGGCGTGGTGGTTTGTGGTGGTGGTGGTGGTGGGTTGTGCAGCTGGTAGTGGTGGTGGTTGTGGCGGTGGTGGTGGTGGTGTGGAAGACTGTGGCGGTGGTGGTTGTAGTTGTGGGTTTTTGTGGTGGTGGTGGTGGTGGTGGTGAGTTGTGGTGGTGATTGTGGTGGTGGTAGTGGTGGTGGCTGTATGGTGCTGTTGTTGGTGGTGGTGGTGGGTTGAGGCGGTGGTGGTGGTGGTAGTGGTGGTGGTGGGGGTAGTGGTGGTAAGCGTCGCTGCGTCCCCGCCGTCGCCGGCGCCAGCTCCGGCGCTGCTGGCCGCCAGCGCCGGCGCCGGCGCGAGGGGGGGGGGGGGGTGAACCCACCCCCCGGCGCTAGGGGGGGCGGGGGCGGGGGGGGGGTTTGAACCGCCCCCCCGCCCCCCCCCTTTGGGCTGGCTCTGGCCATCGTCGCTGCGTCCCCGCCGGCGCCGAAGGGGGGAGGTTCGAACCCCACCCCCCCTTGGGAGGGGGGGGGTCTGGGGGGGGGGCCCACCCCTCGGTTCGAAACGCGCCGCCGACTGTTCCCCAGGCAAGCGCCCGTGAAACGCGCTCTCTCGTAGGTCAACACCTGTCTTCCCGAGAGGTGGCCGGACGGTCATGCATTATATGCGTTGGCCTGTGGCGCTCTTCTTGCGAAGCCCCATGGGGCAGGGCCCAGATACCTCAGCGCATAGACACGCGGTTCTCGGCGGTCGGCCGTGTGAGTGTGTTCGCTCGGGGCAGCAGGCCGCTGGCCAGCCCGCGCGGGGGCCCACGCGGCGGGGATATCCCCGCGGCGTCCCAGCGGCGGGGGGGGGGGCCAGATGCCCCGCCTGCCGAGGCGGGGGCCCCAGGTTTCCCTGCCGGCCCTCCGATGGCTTGTGATGCTCCAACTTCCTTTAGCGATGAGAGCAGCATAACCCAAGGCCTCTGGAGGCAGAGCGTCCCCAAGAATTGATGTTCGCTTGGGGGGGGCCTCTCTGGGGCCCTCCTGGCGGATCTGTTCGACTCCAGTTCGGCTCCACTTCGGCTCCAGCTCGACTCCAGTTTGGCTCAAGCTCGGCTCAGGTTCGACGCGAGTTCGGATCGAGTCCGACGCAGCATCGACGCATGAGAGGAGCGATTGGCTCTAGGAGGGTTCCCCGAGAGATCATCTAACCCAAACGGCCAGATTCTTCGAACTCCAAGCCTGGATCCTGGGGACCTCCCCTTCTCGAACCTCGAGCCTCCGCTTCGAAGGTCGCAGGGTCGCAAGGCCGCAGGCCCGCTTCGAGCGCCAAGCAAAGAATCAAGGCCAGCAGACGTGTACGCGGGTCTCCCCGGTGCCAGCAGAGGTCTCCAGAGGCCCCCCAAAAGGTGAGAGGGGGAGCTCGCTGGTCGCCCTCCCGAGGCATCTCGAGGCCCAGGGGCGTCCGCCCGAAAGCCTTCCGAGATGTCCACATGTGGCCTGACCAGTGCAGGCCGCAGTTTGGCATCGTTTTTGGTATCTCTTGGAAGCGAGGGTGGTCAAAAGCGAGGTAGGTTTGTTTTCTCCTTAAATGGGGGCGCCAGCGCCGGCACGACGGCGGTGGCGACGGTGGCGCGCGAGGTGGTCGCGAGGCGGCGACGCGACGCGACGCGACGCGGCGGCGGCGGCGGCGGCAGGCGGCGGCGGCTCCCTCCGCCCGCCGCCCCGAGCGCCCGCGAGGTGTTCCACGGGAGCCTCTTCAGCGGGAACTGCGTGCCGGCGCGGCCCCCGCCTCCTGTCCCTGGGCCAGGGGTGACGG